TAAATTATCTATCTTATAATTTTTCTCATCAGATGGTGGCCTATGTAGACAAGCTATTTCATAAAGCTCCATTTTTTTAGCATTAGGATCATGCTCTATACCTTTTTTGCTCAACCACGTGATGATGTCTCTTTTTAGAGAAGATCTAGTTGGAGGCTTGTCTTCCAAAGCTGAATGGTAAGGTGCATTATCCATTATTATAATACTATTAGGAGGAATGTTAGGAAATAGTTTTTCAGTAAGCCACTTCGTGAAATTTTCTTGGTTCATTTGACCGTGATAATCACCAGTGGCACAGCCAGCCTTGAAAATGAGACAGGCTCCAGGAACAAAACCATCTTGCGAACCCGCATGAACAATTATAAGTCGTCCTGGAAATGAATAAATAGCCTCATTTTAGTGTTATTTTAAGTTTGCCAACACCTTTTTGAATCACTATGTATAAAAAACATATTTTTGAGAAAAAAATACTTGCAAGGGATTATGTATTCAATTAGACAAATTAAATGAGCACTTATTAAGAATATTCCAAAATTGAGAAAAATGTATAATAAGCAAAATCGAGGTGAAAGAAACTTTATTACCTGTAGAACTTATATTGCTCAGGACACCCATAATTTCTTCGCTTTGCCAGCATTTCTTGAAAGTGAGGTCATTATCAACCCAAGTTTCGTCCAAATAAATAATATGCCTTCCTTCTTCCCGGAACTTTTTAATAGACCTAAGATACTTGTATCGCCAATGTAAAATACTGGGTCTTTCCATTAGTAATTTCCTTTTGTTGTGGCATTTACGCCAGTAAAATCCTTTTGCTTTTAAAAGCAGCCTCAACGATTCTTTACCAAATGGAAATTCCATTTCTTCCTTCAGTTTGATTAGAAGTTTACTACAAGTAGGTACCACTTTAAAATCACAGTAAAATTTTTCTATCATTCTCCGAATAATGGAAAAATCGACTCCATCAATTTTTTGGATCACAGAAGGGCGTGATCTCTTTTTTCCGGGAGAAGCTAAAGGCTGTGTGGAGGTTGCATTTTGCCTGTCTTTATCTTCTTTTCTAATTTTACTTATAGTTCGTTCACTAACACCCGTATAATATGCCGCCCTTGCATTTCTAGCTACCAGTGGATAAACGAAAGTATTGTTAGCCGCTTCTGCATCGCAAGCACGTATCACGTTTGCTATTATTTCCCTTGCCTGGCTGTGAATAACTTTCCCATGCTTGAATTCCATTATCACCACTAAACAGTAAATTATATTTTCAAAGTATTTGCCAACTGCCTACGCCTATGGGAGTAGGTTTATAAATGACCGTGCCATCGGCACGTTATTCTAGTTTCAGATAAGATAAGAGTTTTGGACCAATCAGCGACCGGATGTTTACCTGCGGCCTGGGTTTTCCAGCTACATTGCCAAATTCAGCGGAACAATTCTATATCTTAAATATGTTAATATGTATGGACCGCATTTTATGTAGAACATCTGACAACTTCGCAATTTTTTGTCCGCATTCTTTCGGCTTGCAATCTTTCGCTGGTCCAACAGTACTATATATCCAGAATTGACGGCATCAGGTGGCCTCAGCGAGCGTCCGTTTTTCTCTCCCAGCGGATGATGTTGGTAATAGATGGTACAAGTATTTTGTGCGTGTGCGTATTTCCACAATCCTTGTTAGTTCATTTGTAATATTGTAAAGTTTTTTGGGTTCCAATTTAACCCTATTTGGTATGTATGATGATGAGTAATTTAATTGCCGTAATAAAGTTTTGGCAGCTCCTCAACCTCTACCTCTACCTTTCCCCAGGTGCATCTTCCTGACGTTCGTCTGTTTCCGACCATTTTCGTCTGCTATCGCGCCGCATCGCCACCCTCGATCGTGGCCGTCGCGCGGCTGTCAGTGCCTACTGCGATCGCACACGGGGTGAACCGCCCCCCGCGTCATTTTCCACTCGGGAACACGCGACACGCCGACAAGGGTGCCGGTATACGCGAACGAAGAGGTTGTTGCAGATTTTAGAGGTGATTTGATTTGGATGGTGGATTTGTTTAGAAGATGGAGTGGATTGGGGGTTGGCTTACGATAGATTTAGGGAACGAAACTTAAAATATTGACAAAATATTGTTTAGGAAAATCACTCTTGGAGTACGTCTCAAATTTGGAAGTTTTTTTGAATACTATAGGTTCTATAATATGGTGGATAATCGATGCTTCCAGATATTTTTTAATTTTTGTGATTTTTGTCAATCCTCCAAAAATGGTCATATGAACTCAATAATAAAAAACTATCTACGAAACTAGTGATAATTTAATTGTATTTCGTAGTTTATACTTAAACCAAGCTCACACAATCACGAAGGTTCTTTTCACAATAAAATGATACATATTTCAAAAAATAAAATTGTTTTCGTTTTCAGTTATCCTTAGAACAAAGGTGTGGCTGCTAGAAAAACTTGCCAGTAATGTCTGATTTACTTCAATTCAAGTCATTATTATTAAACAGCCAATCGAATCGATTTAGGTCAAATAACGTTCCTTTGACTAATAAGATCTACATTCACTTTTATCCTTCTGCTACTGTCACTTCTGAATATATATATATATTTAAGGGGAGGTTTACTAAGTGTTGATTGTGTCAGAAATGAGAGCAGAAAATTAATTTTTGTGATAATAATTATAATAACCTTTATTGCTGAAAAAAAAGGATTGCAGTAGTAGATAAAAGACAGTATTATATAATAAACCAATGGACCCAAAAAGGTTTCGCAGAAACTTATGCTTGGGCATGAGCTCATGTATAAATAACTTGATACTAAGAAAAAAAATATATATATAAAAAAAAACATTAGACAAGGCCTAATAAAATTTTTAAGACACAATCGGGACGGAGACGCATTATGAGCAACAGTTTCTCATACTGTGTCTTTTACCTTACAACTCTGCAACATAAAGTGCGATCGCGTACTCGGTCTATTTTTTTAAAAGCGTTATACTACAGATTATTTGCAATAAATCCACCCAATTAACTCGGCGGCCAAATATAAGCGTTTCCTAGTTATCGACAACGTACTATTTTTACACATTTTTGTATACTTTTACGACAGTTGATAACAATTGTACCTGACTGGCTTCCCGAATATTCTTATAATTCATAAACAACTGATTTAGTTTTCGAACAAGGCTGGCCAATTATTCAAACAAATATAAAAAAATAAAAACTCTTGCCATTTAAGATACCTTATTTCTGCGATATTTGAGAATATCGGGCTAGAACTTATTCCTATATTGATTGCTAGCTCATCAACTTTCACAAACGTATCAGTAATGTTCCTAAGCATTCAAACTTTTTCCTTGATTTCTTCGCGACGTTTCAAAAAATTTCATAAGACGTTGACAACTCAATAATTTGTGGCATACGCCTTGCCAAGAAATATGTTAGACTTCCAGTAATCTCACTAGTGATTTCCGAATACTGTATAAGGAAAATAGAAAATATACAAGGTGTGCAACTGGAGTGATTATTGAAGCATAAGCATGGGTACTGAAGGTTCTTGTTTTTTTTTTCGATACACTGTGGTATACATTTCTACGCTAGTAATAAAGAAAAAACGGATCAAATAATATCATAGAGAAGTGATACTCCATCCATGACCAACATATGTTGTGTAATTATTGCACCGCAGTCTTAAAACTCTTAATGCAAGCATCTTCCAGGTTTACCTCAGGCGTGTAGAAATACAGTACCCCTTCTGACCAAAATTTTTCTCAAGAGGAATACCTAACTTGTCAGATATTTTTTTAGTGGGATACTGTGATTATTAGTCGAAACTTTTGTTAATCCTGTAAGAGATTTTGGAACTAACTAATTATTCTGAATAGGAAATTGCTGATATTCACCCAAATTTCAGTTGCGATGAGCATACGGAATGTTTAAACTACAATTAGATTAAATGCTTAAACATGTAATTCAAATTGAATTAAAGTTGCAAATATTTGCATTACTGATTTATGTTCAAAATAGGTATTTGCGATATAATAATTATAATATAATTATAATATTATGCGAGTATGCTTAACAGAGATATTACGCTCATCCACCATAATTTCAAATTACGATAGATTTAATTATTCTTTGTACATTCAACATATGTTTTTATAAATCTAAACATTCCATATGAAAAAAATGCAATGAAAATTAGTAGCCTAGCAAAAGTTGACGCACAATCATATGAACAGCTGTATATTTGGATCATTATAGCGTTGACCATAAAAAAATTTCACCCAGGCCCATGAATTTCAAAATCCACCCCCTCAATCCATTTCAACTATCACGTTGTAGACAATGTCTGAAAGACAGATTATCCTGGAACTGAAAAACGATTTGCAAAGTGACTGATTTGTTCAAAGTCCTTAAAACTGATTTTTGCACTTTAGCTGCGTATCTCTCTCTCCTTATCTCTCTTGGTAAAACTCAGGTCAAAGAAGGTCAGGAACCTTATCAAACACTGACTAGGCCATTGATTGTTACCGAAATTACAGAATGTATGAAAAATGATGGGACATACTTATCATTTTTACAGAACGCTTTACAAAAGCAAAGTGCGTGAATCAGCTAGTGTAATGACAAAAATACACGTAATCAAAGGGAGAGCAAAAATAGCTTTTTCTTCGCCGTGACTAGTGGATTCAGTAAAAGTTCGAAATGCTCTTGTTTTTTTTTATTAAAATAGTGGTCGGATTTAAAAAAATCTTGTCAAACATTGGCAAGGCACCCTCAACGTAAAAAATGGACGGTTGAATAGAAATGTTGGGAAATGCTGCGTAGAATCGTTTTCGTCTGGCTTTACTTAAGAAAGAGGCTTTGACCAAGTATTTTTGTTAGTCCGAAATTCATAAGAATCTTGCAATTTGTTTTGAATCTTCGGTCACTCTGCGAACTGACTGAACATCTCTGGAATTACTTATGCAGACTTTGACTAAATAGAAATATTTTTTAATCTAGCATTGAAGACTGTGTGAAAGTAAGGAGACTCCACCACATGTAGACAGAAGATCTCAACCGGTCAGTGCGAACGTTTGACTAACCATCGGTGACGTAACAACACTTTCACTGAACATAGTGCGGGTGTGCTTAATAAAGTGGACTAGTATAAGTGAGTGTTACCTGCGTGACATGGCAAAAATGACTATCCTCGCTGCCGCCGCTGTTTTGATGTTGATGGACTGTGTCAGCTGTCAGACGTTGCTACCGGAAGACGAGGAGAGTGAAACAGGTGAGTGCGGGTGAATTGCTTACTTAGAGGTTAAGAGGTGGGACAAAATATCTCAGATCTCTTTTGTACCTAAGCTGCCGCATATGCAGAAGCCTAAATACCTGAGCGGCGCGGCTACAATGAGAGTATGAACCGACAGTTCAAAATGGTTAGGGTGGGACACCGAAGTTGGGCGAGACAGGCTGGTACACTAGCAAAAGGACGGCGTACTGCCTAAATGAACGTTGGAAGATGAAAGGCTATATGAGCTTTCAGAATAGTTTTCGCTGTCGTGCCTTTTGCAGGTCAAGATTATCAATTTTGGTATCAATAAAAAATCTTGCGATATATGCATCTGTTTGTAACTAAAAACTATTATGGGAACTCGAAGCAAATTGCATACTATAAGAAATTAATCCTATACAAGCATAATCTCACTCACACACTTTATAGACATAAGAATTGTGAGATTGTCTCTTAGCTTTCCCTTATGTTTGCATCCTACTGCGGCGCTGCTTGATGAGCTTCATCATGGGGCGTAACGCCAAAAGCCACCTTCAGTAAATATTGCCAATATATTTATACAGGGTGGCCCATCCATGTGTGGACGAAATATTATACTAATAAACAAATACATTTAGGGAAAATCTATTTATGGGATGTAATATACGACATTTGAGGGCAAATTTTGAAAATATTGGTTATTATACAGGGTGTGATTTTTCAAATTGAATGCTTCAAATTTTATTGCATATTTGGATAAACCAATTCAAAAGAAGAAAATTGATATAACATGCTATGGGGTTTTGGTTATCAGCTACTGAGATATAATGTGTTTTGTCTAGAAAAACCCTCCACTTCGGCAACCCCTCAGTCAGCATTTTTGAAATTTGGAGTGCTGAATTTTGTATCTTTCATCTTATTTGTTACTTTTTCAAATTTTAATTTTTGCTAGTACAGGGTGGTCAAAAACGCAAATTGTAGATTTTCTCAAAAATTTCAAATGCATCATCCTGTGTATATTTATGCAAGATTTTATTCAATTTTTTACAAGCTTTTTTTTGATACTAGACACATAAGGGTTTTTTCGGCTATTTTTTCGGTTATTAGCACGTCTTTTATGGAACGGCTTAGTTCCCTAAAATATCGCATCATCCTTGGAACCAAGTAAGTTACAAACTGTCAAAATTAGTTTTGTGAGCGTTATAATAAGAATGCGTTTGGAAATGAATTTTCTAAAGAAGAAATGGTAAATATGGTGTTCGTTTTGGACACCTGAAGTAACAATCTTTGTATCGGTCGAGATGGGCCTATATCTTGGTCTCCTAATCAGTAGATAATATGACAGCGATGGACTCTTTTCTATGGGGCTACGTTAAGCAAGAGGTTTATAGATATCCACCATCTCCCCGGAAAATATGAAGGAAAGGACTAAGGATGCTTTTCTGAACATGAGGGAACACATACTGAGGTATGTGCAACGGTCATTTATCCAAAGGCTACGGCTGTGTATTCAACATGGTGGAGATATTTTCTAGCAGTTTTTGTAGATTAGGCCTTGAGTAGTGATAGTTGTTTGTTTATGTTGTTGTTATAGTTTTTTTTTCTCTATTACGTGTGAAGCTGATTTATACTGTTCTGCTGTTATTAGTTTTTACGTCAGATCTGTACTCTTATTGGCAATATGGAACTAGCCCACTGTTTGTCTTTTGTTTCCATGGATGATGTGATTTGTTTCCTTAATTTTGGTGTGTTGTTCTATTAAACGCTTGGCAACTCAAGATCTAGTGATTTTATCTGAGTCAAACCTTATACCAAAAAAAGCTTATAAGAAATTAAATCCAAACTTGCACAAATATACAGGGTGATGCATTTGAAATTTTAGAGGAAAAGTATAGTTCGCGTTTTTGACCACCCTGTATGAGCAAAAATGAAAATTCGAAAAAGTAACAAACAAGATAAAAGCTAAGGTGTGAAAGTTTTTTTTATACAAAATTCAGCACTCCAAATTTCAAAAGTGTCCGTCTGTTATATCAATCGTATTCTTTTGAACTGGTCTATTCAAATATGCCTTAAGATTTGAGATATTCCATTTAAAAAATCACAACTTTGATATGTAGGCCAAAATTGCCTACACCCTGTATAGTTGCCAATATTTCAGAAATTTGCCCTCAAATGTCATGTATAACATGCCGTAAATAGATTTTCCCAAAATGTAAGTAATATTCCGACCACACATGGATGGGCCACCCTATATGTATATTCGAATATATATATATATATATATATATATATATATATATATCTACTTACTCTATCGAACTTGTTCCGTTTTTGAAAAAACCTTTCTGCATTATTTACTAGGGAACAAATAGACTTTAATTAAGCTCTCTCGGCCCATTATCGTTTCAACACGCGAGCTTTTATTTCGCGTACGTACAAAAACCAATGAATTTTCTCACAATACAAATGATGAGAGTACGGAATGAACGGGTAACTTCCAAAAGGCGAGTTTACTTTTTTACAGGAATTTTCAGTAGAACTAATATATGTTTTTCTCCATAGTGGAAATATTCATATAGAATGTTTCCATAGCACACATCGCGAAATCTTTCATTTTAATGGAAATACTCCGAAAATTGAAAATGAGAATCATTTGCTGAGACAACATGAAGGCATTTTGCTTCAAAAAGATCGACTGAAAAAGGTAGTCTTCGAATAGCACGAAAAAGTTTGAAAATCCTCAAACCTATCTTTTTGATTTTGAAGTTTTCAAACTTTTGAATCTTTGACGCCAATGAACAATATTTAACTTATTACCAACATTGCATAGACTGTCACCTAGGGTTTGCAGTAGACATGTATGGACAGGGTGCCCGGTTTGAAATTGCAAACCCTCTAACTTTTTTGTATGACCGCTTAGAAAAACATACTTTGCTTAAAAATAGAATGGTCAAATACAAAATCACACGTGTACTTTCTTTTTTACATACACGGCATCCCAGAAAAGTGCTGTTGAGCTGTATTTGTTCAAATGAAACATTCTGTATATCATTAGTCAAAATAATGATTTTTTATGATTCTGAAGGTATATCGCTCATTTTTATTACTTTAGTTAAAAATTTGTATGTGTCATTTAATGACATGTATCGCGCATTTTATACCAAATTTGTTAGGCTGTATATTTTTAGTGAGAATGAGATAATGTTCAGAAAAAGCGTATCATAAAAAAGTTGTTGGGTCTAATATAAAGTTTTCGTGCAATATATTTTTTATACCTAGCATCTCAGAAAAGTCCATTTTTTTAAATGAGCAACCTGTATAATTTTAGTGAAGACGATATAATGTTTTTTATCTAATTCCAAATATATATGGTTTGTCGTTCTTATTTTCATTTGTTTGATCAAAGACTTAAATTTTTGTGTGTTATTTATTCAAGCCAGTTTGCAGCTAGCCGCCTAGGCAATCTGGTATGATAGATCCGGATGCGTACAAATAAATGACACATAAGATCAGAGTAATGGAAATAAGCATAATAAACCATACACATTTAGAATTAGTAAAGAAGCGACGACTTTCATTTTCACTAAAAATATACAGCTATACAATTTTATTTGATAGAGATACTACCTCAAAAACTTTTCACTCAACCCTAAACCATTGACATAGTATAAGCTTTTTCTCTAAAAGATCGTGCAAATGTTCAGATGATTCTACAAAAAAACAACGTTTTTTCTAATAGCGCTTATCAAATTAATATAGTATTGTTTTCAGCATCGTAAATGACCCTTTGACTTAGCTTGCACACTTTTAGTTGAATTTTTGATCGCGGTTGTCTTTAACGATCTGGCAGATAATATAGGCGCAAATATATAGGTGTAGATGCTACAAAACGTTCTTCAAAAATTCAAACTTCTTCCTCAAGGGTGTAGTATCGCATTACACGAAAGCGCGGTCCTGTCAATGATGGAATTTCCATTCAGACTTTGATATGTCAATTGCTTCATTCTTAGTAAATTAAAAATCAAAATGTCAGACCTTCTGTCACCAAGAAGTCATCCAGCCAGCTTCTATCATTCTTAGGCTTTACAGCGAATTCTTCGTCAAAACAATTCCAGCTCCCACCTTCTATCGCTATTGGGCTTCATTTGCAAGTATGCCTCATGAGCCTATTTACAATATGGCTGCATTCACGATCTCTACACAACGGCCGTTCTCTCTCATTGAATCTAAATTTGTAATTATTGCGTGGGAAGGGGGTTAGTAAAACATACCTAAAATGTACGGAGATAGTTCAAAAATGACTCATTAGGGTAATGATACACGTATTCTTACCCTAGTGACCAACTGTACATACAGACAGGACTAATGGATATCAGACATATCTACCTATAACATTACTGAAATGTCAATATGCTCATTTTTCAAATTGTAACCATGTGTCACATCAGTTCGGAATAAGACTGAAAGCCAGTAATGTCGATATACCAAGGGTAACTAAATCAATCGGACATACACATATGACAGAGATGGATTCTTACTAAGCCTAAGGATAATTAAACAGTTTTTCTTCTTCTACTATTTTAATTTATTCAGGGCTCACACAGTGTGAATTAATTTCTTTAAAATGTTCAAATGTAAGTATCAAAAAGTTACGGGGAGGTGGCATGGTGTGAGAAGGCTTCTGAAAGAGAACATCTAAAAGAAATATAAGCAGAAATTCATTTTCACCCTCAGCGAAATGGATTATCAAAACGATTTGTATATCGAAGAAATACTCTATCATAAAGACAATTTATAGGCCAGTTGGCAAGGTGTCAGAAAGCTTCTGAAGGCTTAGCAGATGCTAAGTATAAACAAAAATCCATCTTCACCCTCAAGGAAATGATTCCTCAAAACAACTTGTATCTCAAAAGAAATGGTATGGGGTGGGAAAGTCTCAAAAGAGGTAGTAGGTAATGAGATATAAATGAAAGTTCAATTTCACCCCCAAGAAAATGATTCCCCAAACCGAGTTGTGTCTCAAAAAATACGCTATCATAAAGACGACTTAAAGAACAGGTGGCATGGTGTGGAAAATCTTCTAAAGGTGAGTAGTTAAAAATATAAATGAAAACTCTTCTTCACGCCGAATGAAACGATTCCCAAAACGAGGTGTATCTCAAAAAAAAATACTCTATCGTAAAAATGATTTTAAAGCCAGGTGACTTGGTGTGAGAAATCTTACATTTTCTATCGTACGAATGTTGCTTAAGCACTGAGTTTTCGTACCGGTTATTGTTTCAGTTCTAAGTGAAGTGAGTAATATTTACTGATTGATTGATATCTAAAACTTCTATGAAAAACGGTTGCTGAACTAGAAGGTATGTCTAGAGATAGTTGGTTTCTTGAGTTTAAATTATGAAGGTTTCTAAAATGTATTTTGTCCTCAAGGTACACTGAACAAGGTGAGGGTACAAAAATCACGATATCATGTTGCAATGCAATTGGAATTTTTAACCAAATCAACTCCTCAGCCTTTTCAGATCTATGGCCATATTTTCTAAGTCGTTAGTAAAGCTACAGCATATATTTTGTATCGTTTAGATTCCGTGTATACATAGAATAAACAAAGGTATTAAACTAAGAATCGATATTTAACGATAGAGAGAATAAAAGTTTGATGCAATCGTTTTGTTCAATATATTATTTAAACTAAACCTATTATTATGTAGTACACGAAGTCGCAGTATAATGTTTGGCTTGTTGTCTCAAACGAAGTTGCTCGTTAATTTGTATACCTGAAATATTAAATACATTACAGAAAGTCGGTTTAACGCTATGACAGACTATACTGAAATCCTCTAATCTTATTTTTGTCATTTTCTGTCTACACTGTACATTTATTACTACACACTATTGGTTTGTGTCACGCCTGTTCGTAAATTTTCGGATTCAAGTTATGTATGTATGTACTCGTACATATTGAAAATAAAATTGGGCCAAGGATGTAGCCTTGTGGTACTCCAGATACTACGTTTGAAATATAGAATAGAATATAGAATAGAATAGAATAGAATAGAATAGAATATATATTACGTGCCAATTAACAAAACATTTGTTTTTACACTTGTCAGAAAAATTGTTGGTATGCAAAAACACATAAAAATAGCTTCTTGAAAACTACTGATGACATATACAATACATATAAAACTATAATTCGTAAAAATAAAATAAAATATAATATAAATGTGTAGTAGGCCAGATCACACACATAGGGGGGTCGCGATAAACTCATTCAAGGAATAAAAAAGATGTTTAACTAATTCTTGCCAAAGTGTATTTTTAAAATGTTTTATATATGTTTATAAGAAACCAGACATATTGTTTGCGATTTTTGAATACGATTTGAAAAATGATGCAGAGCTGGTATCAAAGCCATAATATTTTAATTTAGCAAATAAAAGGTCATCATCGATACAGTCAAAAGTTTTTGAGTAATCAAAAGAAACAACTGTCGATGCTAATTTTTTATCTTGTGCTCTAACGATTTCGTCTACTAGATTTAGTACAGTCGTGGTACTGTGACTCATACGAAAACAGAAAATATGGAATTATTCTTCAAAAATAACTGTGCCTTAAAAAAATGTTCTATAGTAAAGACGACTTAAAAGCTAGGTGGCATGGTGTGAGAGAGCTTCTAAAAGGGAGATAAACGCAATAAGTAAAAATTGGGAGGCAATGACCTCCCATGCGCCTCCGAAATTTCCTCAATAAATTCAAGCTTCCACGTTCTATCATTATTGGGCGATATACGCAAGTATGATCACGACTATGATGTGGCCGCATCTTCGATCCCAAAACGGCAGTCGTTCACACTTATTGAACTTGGAGTTTATTCGCAAAGTTCCGCCTAACTTCGACCCTATATTTAAATGAAGTTGAAATTCATGAATATCGCTAAATATGACGACCGACATTCTAGCAGAAGCAGCAGCAGAAACTTTATTTTATCTCTGCTAAGATGATACGGATAAGTTGGCGAGAAGGTTGCGTGTTGCATAATTCAACAGTGTTTTTTTTTGTAATGCTGAGGTTATGTTCTGGAATTCCGAGGCGTCATTTCAGGATATTATTATGCCTTGCAGTTTGATATTGAATTAAAAAACATAATCTAGTAAAAAGTCATATAGCATTACAATTCTAACGAGCTTTCAACCCGATTTCCTCTCGTTCTGAAGAGACAAAAAAAAATTACCGAGAAGTACATTCATGGTGTATTAATTGTTTTTAATTGCATGCTTTTATATAACTTGACCTATTTGTTATACAGGGTGGCGCGTTAAAAACGAAACGCACGCATATACTGACAGCTCAATTTTTTTTTTGAAAAAACGCTCAGACCCGTCGATTTTGTTTTCGAGGGGGATACAAGTTTGGCAAAAAATCATGTTACCTTATTTTAAAGGTCTTTCAATCTCCTTTATAATGATGTAAAATACATGAGCTTCAGTTCAGTAGTTTTGAAGATTCATTGATTTAAAGTCTAAAGTAGACTTTAATAGGTACATCAGATTAGTTTGTAATACTTTCAGAAGATATTTGACTAAAAGAATTTACTTAATAAGTAAATGTTTTTCTTCACTACGCCGATGGTTTGTTTATCATTTTGTTGTTGAATTAGATATTGGTGCGTTTTTTTTGTGGCAAAAACTTTTTCTTTAAGAAAGATAAGGAAATATCTCGTACTTATTTTAAATAGGAATTTAGTACATAGTTTACGATTGATTTGAACAAACTTTGTTGCTAAAATAACTTGTAACGCTTTATTACATAAATTAACCACGGTATACTCTACAGCAGAAAGAGTTGAAATTATTGAAATATTTTTCGGAAATAATCAGTGCGCTAATAGAACAGCAGAAATATTTAATAAGCGACATAAAAACAGTAACGTGAATCGAAAATATGTTCTAGAACTCGTAGCTAAATTTCGGGAAACTGGGTCAGTCGCCAATAAAAAATGCAACATTGAAAATCCCATAAGGAACGAAGCAATAGAAGTGGGGGTTTTAGAGCAAGTTTATGTAGATCCTAGGTTAAGTACCCGCAAATTGGAGACTGTGTGTGGTGTTAGTCGACGTACTGTTCAACGGATTCTAAAGGCCCATAGTTTTCATCCGTATAAAATTCACCTGTACAAGAACTTAATGAAGACGATGTTGATCTGCGATTACAATTTTGTGAAGATATGAGTGGACGAATTATAAACGTGAACAATTTCTATTCAACATTTGCTTTTCCGACGAATGTTCCTTTTTCTTAAATAGCGTAGTAAATCGTCATAACTGCCGATATTGGTCCAATTTTAATCCCAGAATTTATCATGAGGTTCATACATAGCAGCCACAAAAATTAAATATTTGGGCTGGTAGTTTTGGCGATCGTTTAGTTGGTCCTTTTTTCTTACCTGGAAATTTGACCGGTGAAATATATTTGGAATTACTGGAAGACGCAATAGATCCTGCATTAACAGGCATAGTTGAAAATCTGAATGATCGGCGGTAGATTGCGAATAGGTAGATGTTCCAACAGAATGGTGCCCCACCACATTACTCATTACGTGTTCGACAAAATTTAGATGAGATGTTTCCAGATCGATGGGTTGGTAGAAGATGTGCCATTGAATGGCCCCCAGGATTAGCAGACTTATCACCTTTGGCTTTCTTTATGTGGGGTCATTTAAAAAGCAAATCTATGCTACTCAGCCAACATCATTAGAAGACCTGCGACAAATAATTTTGAATGAGTGCCTTCAAATTACTCCTCAAATATTGCAAAATGTGCGGCAATGTTTTGAGCAAAATCTTTATTATTGCATGGAGAGTCATGGTGGCCATTTTCGACATTTACTTGCCTAACAGTTCATTCTTCATTTTTAAATTTAATCAATAAATCTTCAAAACTACTGAACTGAAGTATATACATTAATTTTATATCATTATAAAGGGAATTGAAAGACCTTTAATATCGACCCCCTGTCCGTTTAAGATTTTGGGGGTGGTGTCACCCCCGCTTAGGGGGCTGCACGTGCTACCGTGATTTTTTGCCAAACTTGTGTCCCCCTCGAAAACAAAATCGACGGGTATGAGCGTTTTTGAACCGTGTAACTTCAACCAACTGAGCTGAAATTTTATACTGGGTATTTCAAATTCGACTCTCACCATTGGGACCTCGAAGACTGTAACAGATACGAAATCGGTTAAATGAGGTAACTAGGAAAATGGTATTCAGAGAGTTTTGCGTACTTCCGATACACTGAAGAAACCGAATTTTTCCCAGATTTATTTTTTCTTGTCAACGCCACATTGGATTTTTGTACATGTGCATAGAGTTTTTTATTTTGAGTCCTAAAAT